CTATGGGCTAATTGGGACTGTTGGTTGTTACAGTTCAACAGCTTATGGATAAGCAAAAATTCTCATTCCATCCAGGTGCAAATTCCAGTACAGAGTGGAGAAAACGGATCCTTTCTTTGTTCTTCTGAAAGAAAGATCTCACTGATTTCAGGGGGAAAGAAAGCATATATATTCCAGTCTATTTAATGTGCTCATCCTTCCTGTTGCTGTTGGAACAGAGATGCAATAAAACTTTCCACCATTGTAAATGATTTCATTCTTGAAGATCTTCACTGAGGGAGGTCTGGTAGATTTCTAGCTGCGCTCTTACTTTAATGTCTGCTTACATCAGAAAACCAAAACCCCATACTGTCAATATAACAAGCACAGACCCAGCACAGGACATGATTAGCTCCATGTTCACATCTTCAAAACTAGTGTCTGGTCAGTAAGTTTTCATGACACCAGAGGTGAGTAATACTTTTGTTTAGGGAAGCCCCTTTCTTAATGAGGCTGAAGAGGTCTTAAGAATTACTGTACATTTCTAGATGGGAAGGGAGGGGATGGGAGGTTGGCCCATTTTCCATTTGGGGAACTTGGGGATATTTTTAATACATCTTTTTAATGATTTTTCTGAATATAAGACAAATCACACTGCTGTTATTGCAGAGGCGGGACATGGGGTTAAATAAAATTATCTGTGATCTCATGATGGATGCATGTAAAAAAGGGCAGACTTCAACTGTACAGTTGCACCTGCCACCTTGACTTTTCTGATTCCCTTGCAAATATCCCTGGTGTTTTGCTGCTAAATTGTGGTAGGGTGAGCAGGAGGAGCTCCAGAAGCCAGGCTGAAGATCATAGCGTATCAACCTCAGTCTGCTATGGTTTGCTTCTCCTGAAGGTACAAAAAGCATCCAGTAGAATATCAAATTATTATTCACTGCCATCTTTTATTTCACTATCAACTCAAATGCAGGGGAGAGGGTCAAGAAAAGCAAGATGGCAACCATGACCACACAATTAAAGCTGCGTTCCTTTTGTGAATGTATTAGCACCACACACACATGCAAAGGGCTGGACTTCAACTGCACTGCTGACACTGCCATTTTGCCTTTTTTGACAGATATTCCCTCTGGACCCTACTGCCTCAGATACCACAAGGGAATAATAGTTATTGGCATCAATGGCAATTTCACCATTATTTGGGTTTAGTTCTATAGAATAGAAAAAAATAATCTGTTGTGTTGAGAAAGAGCAGGGAAAAGTGGGCTGTGTTCTCACAACACACCTAACACAGGGACTAACTTGGTCCAACCTGCTTACTGATCGCTCTGGTGGCACCCAATTACAATAACTGGGTCAAAATCACCACTTTGGGGGTACAGGGTCTCACCCACTTTTCCAAGACATTCTTGGCATCCCATGAGCCTTTGCACCAGGAAAGTACTGGTAAGACTTCATGATATCACTTACCTCTTCCTCATCTGCCAAGAAGTCATCAGTGAATGTGACTTGAGCACTGCAGCCAAGCAACGTTTGGGAGGTGTGTTCTGTACTGCCAGTTCTTATCAGTGAGTGCTGTAATGGAGAATCTAGTTTTATAGCTATTCTTTCTCTCCAGCTTTGTTTTTTCTTGGAGGACCAGGTATGCAAAATGACCAAAGGTATTTCCACAGGATGGCTTTGTGGATGAAGTTAGTTTAATGCTGTGTATGACTGGGTCTGTTTGAGGTTAAATTCAATCCCTTGGGGGTAAACTAACTTGGTCAATAAAAAACAAGGGTGTGCTTAGAAGTGGGATTTGCCTGGTTCAATCAACCTAGCTAACAGCCATGAAGTTTTAATGAGACTTCTATAATTTTGGGCTCTTTGGTATCAGTGAACATTGACTCTCATGCTGGCTGGAGATTATGACAAATTCAGCCATAATGGTCTGTGGGAATATCCTTGAGAGGCAGGAGAAGGAAGAGCCGCAGCCAGGGCAATGGTCAGATAAGAGACACCTCAGCCAGAAGCAATGGGGGCATAGAAAGCATCTCAGAAGGGATTCTTCCTAGTTCCCTGGAAAGTAAAGATGGGCGGGGGGGAAGGATCTGTTTTCAGACTTGCAAGGTTCTGTTACTGTAACCTTAAAATAAAGGTAGTGTTAGTACTCATGGTTTTGGTTTCCTGTCTGGACTACCTTGAAGGGCTGGCATCAGTCTTGCAAGTCTGAAAACACATCTCTCTCCTCTCGGCTTTACTTCCCATCAACACAACTGGAGGGTACCACATTGGAAGTTGTCTGACCAATCAATATTTCTTTAAAAAAAACACACGAAAAAGACCGATTATGAAAAACAGATGGAAGTACCTCTGATTCAGCTCAACAAGTGGGTAGGGTTCTTTGAAGTTTATATAGCACCGCTTATACCAAATCCAGTTCAATGAAGCTGGAATTAATGTTTCTAAATACAGATGGGCCTCTACTTTTCTGTTAGATTATGATTTAGGTTACCAACTTAATGGTTTTTGACTGGAAGTTTTGGAAAATAAAAGGTCTAGAAAACAACCTACTTTAAAACACAATTGATTTACAACCTGGTCTGAGGGAATTCAGTCAGATCTAAATCTCATTGACGCTGGTGAGTCTTCCTTTCAGGTATGTATATATAAGTCTGCTATTGGCTAATTGATTATGTGCCATCAAGTCATTGATGACTCTTAGTGACCACAAAGATAGATTTTCTCCATGAAATCTTCCAATAGGGCAAAGCAATCATATATGGGAATGAAGAAGTGGAGAATTGTGTAGTTGAAAATGCAATTGAAGAAACCATAGATGGTAGTTCAAATCCTGTGGCTACTTGTGGAAACAAAATGGATCCATGTGATACCCACTGAGAATATTGTGGCTCACCATTGCTGGAACCGCTGACATTGTTGATCTAAACCCCTAAAGCTGTTTGCAGTGTTACTGGTGGGGGCAGGAGAGAACTTGGCAGAAGATACATTCTCCACTGATGGAACTTCACTCACAGATAGACACCCCTCCTCCCGCCACCCAATGGATTACAGTTTAGAATTGCACAGATAAGCAACTGATCATTTAATTAATTGATTTGTATTAATTTTTAGATGGATAAAATATTTCTGAAGCGAGATTACATATGGTTTTTGGATAAAGCACATATGTCATAGCAGTAATCATATCTGAAGATACATTCACATTCTTGGATGAGGAAAAGGGGAGAACACCTCTTTCAAGATGGTGCTTTATTATTATTTTTTTTTGTAAACATGTCTTGCAAAACACGTTTGTGTGTTCACACACACACACACACACACACCCTAGCTGACTCAGACTGCATCTGTGGTTTGGATGAGCGTGAATACTCTTTAAATACTGCAATTTTTAAAATCCCATTAATATAAATAAGTCATTGATCAAATGCTGTATCCTTATTCCCCTTGCTGGGGAATTCTGGGAACTGAAGTCCACACATCTTAAAGTTGCTGAGGTTGAGAAACGCTGTTTTATAGGAATAAATATTAAGAATTGAATTCCCAGGAAAGCAGTGATTTACAGTGGGTTGGATGATAGAAATGACATGTGTTATCCAAAGAAAAATTCTAAAACCATTCCAGGTTTGGGGGGGGGGGGGGACACACACCAAAGCTTTCAATTGTGTCAGAGAAGTATTTGTAGTCTATTCGCTGAGGCAGAGATATGGCATCTGAATAATTTTCAGATTGTGCTGTTGTGTTAATCAGGGGATGTCCCCCAAAGCTTACGAGTTCATTATTTCTTAGAACACTATTCTTCAATAGGAACAATGATTCAGACCAATAACGCATCAATGATAATTCCATCTGTGGAAGGGTACCAGATCTAGGCTGTACTAGATGGGAGAAAAGTGACACAAAACTCCTAGTTTTTTGCTGCTGTCTAGTGCCATCTGAATTTTTGCAGCTTAAGTTTTATCCCCCTATTCAACCTCAGCAATCACTTTTCTAAACAGAAAATTCCTTACTAATTGCTGTAAGGCCCAACATTTCACCTTAAGATAATGCAAAATTCAGAACTAGGGGCTCCATTCTGCTCAGCCAAGTGGCTTAGGGATTGGACCATCGCTTCTCTGCAGTTCACGTCTGTGCCCCATCAGTTGAAGAAATGGTCTTGTCCCTGGAAGGGTTTCTTCTCCTTTGGGAATGAGTGTTTGAGAAATGACACGATTGACCCCCAAACTTCTACCTTGCTATGTGTAGAGAACCACAGAGATGGCTTTGGAGAAAGAATGCAGCAGTTAGCAAAGATGCATTAAGCCCAGGAAAGGAAAGAGGCATTAGAAAGAACTTTAAAATGACTCTGTGTTGACACTTCGATATAAGGAGGGAAGGGAAAACATTGTCAGGCTTTCAAGGTTGATGCTAGCCCTTTGAGGTAGGCGAGATCAGGAAACTGACTCAACAGGAAATATTGGAACTCTACGTGCAGAGAGTTTTGGAGTGGGTGGCTAATAATATTATTAATAGTAGTAGTAGTAGCAGTAGCAGTAGTGGACATTGCAATACCTGGAGACAGCAGAATAGAAGAGAAAGAACTGGACAAAATCAAAGACCTGCAAGTAGAAATAGAATAACTGTGGCAAAAGAAAGCAAAAATAGTGCCAATAGTTATAGGTGCCCTAGATGCAACCCCAAAACATCTGGAGCACCACCTGAAGGCCATCAGCATTGACAAAATCACCATCAGTCAACTGCAAAAGGCAGCTTTACTTGGAAGAGCTTATATCCTGTGACGATACCTTTAACACCATCAAACAACAGCATCTGCCTATCCCAGGTCCTTGGGAAGGAGGATTCAATAGGTGGATAAAAATGTCAAATCCAGTCTAAACATCTGGCTGATTGTGCAAAAAAGATGATGATGATGATGATGATGATGATGATGATGATGATGATGATGATAATAATATCTTATTGATATAGACTATAGTAACAGAATCCTGAAAGTCTGAGAGCATTTTCCCTCCCCTCCCTCTTATATGACAGTCAAGGCAGAGTCACTTTAAGTTTCTTTTGAATACCTTTTTCCTTTCCTGAGCTTAATTCATGTTTTGCTAAATGGTGCCACGTTCTTTTTCCAAGGATATCTCTGTAGTTCTCTACACTATGGAACCACGCAAAAGAGGGGAATTAAAGCAAAAAATGCAGGAGATAATTGGCAGATCAGAAACATGCTACTTCTACTTAAGCAAACACACGGTGTGCAAAATGATGGTGTTTTTGCACAAACACGGCATGCACAAAATTATTTTTATGCCGGTAATAGCAAAGGGCCACATTAGCTGCTTAGTCTGAACTGCACTGATGGTAGCTGGACCAAGTGCTTCCAACATGGGATATGGAAAGAAGAAAGGGCTTTAAAAATTGGGTCAATGGCCAAATTGCCATTTGGGTATTCAGCTACCATCCCAGATGCTTAAATGCATGGAAAATGTCTTTGACTTTTCCTTGATTTTGACTTCCAAAGGGAAAAACTAGACTTTGGGAACAATTCAGTAGTCCCTTAATGATGATACATTCTCGGTGATCTTAATAGGCCAATATTGCCATAAATCATCATTCAGTCCAAACATCAGGAACAATTCTCAGACTGACCATGAATTAACACAGGCATGTTCCACTGTTAATAGCAATAGCATAAATTAACCCCTCCCCCAAAGACGTCCCAAACCAGCAACAACAATAAGCTAATCGGAATAAGCAAACACAGAAATTCTAACAGTTGATAGTTTCACCTTTTCTTCTTTTGCAGAATGTGAAAAATATATGACTATGAAAATACTTTAATATTCTTGGCAGCATAGCTAAGAAATGCAAAACTCTCTGCTGTAAACAGCCTTGACTTTCCTACTGCAGGAAGAGAAGAAACGCTTTGGCGTTGCCGAACAGGCAAAGCCGCCCTCCTTAGCCTTGAAAACTGGCAATAAACAGGAGACTAACTGTAAACCTCTCCAGAATTAAAGGCTTCCCCACCTCTTTCCTCTTAGAATTCTGCTTTGAAGAATCGCAAATTCAACGGGGACACTTTTTTTTTCCCCCCTCAAAAAACGACAGCGACAATCTTTTGGCACTTCAAGTACGAAATCCTTAGGCACAGTGGGATAAAGTCAGTTTTGCAAGTCCTTCGCCGTGCATTCGAAAGAGCTGCTGGAATTCAGCAGGCAGCTGGTGGGATTCCTGCCACTTGGTCGTGAACTTGGTTCCCTTCTTGTCAAAATAATGGTAGGGAAGGTCTTCTCGATTGTTTGGGTTGAAGCCAAAGGGCCAAAAGCCGTAGAGGTGGATTTCATCGCAAATCGCCGATGCGAGGGTGTACATCAAGATGCCCGTGCTGAGTCGCTTGGGGGCCAAGTGCTTGTTTTTCCAGTACCTGTGAAATAAGAATCCATAAAGTATCATTATTTATCAGAAATCCTATTCCACATGCCTGCTCTCTCTGCGGTTCCTGGATGCCTTGGCAGAGCAGGGCCTTTTCGGTGGTGGCAATGCTCAAAGTTCCTCTACAGACGTATTTACCCGGCTCCTAGCTTCTAGTTTGTCAAGCATTTTGTCAAGATAATCATGCTGGAAATATGGGTGCTGTTATCTCCCTATTTTGTTGCTTACAGTTTGTTTATTTTTACTTTTTTGCTTGATCTTGTTAGCCGTCTTAAGGTGTTTTTTTTTTTTTAATGGCAAAGTTAAATATTAGAATCCGTAAATATCCCGCTGTTTTAATAGCCGGTTTAAAGCAGCCCCGTGATTACCATCCATGCTGGCTGATAACACAAGGGATTCCCACCCTATTTATTAGCTGATGAGGCTCCTGAATAAATCAAGATTTCTGCCCCGATGCTTCTTATTTTCGTCCATAGAGAATTAAAAATATTATACAGTGATGCACTTTGGGAATTTCACTGGTTTCCAGTCTTTCCACTTTGGAAAGCAGAACTAAGATGCATCATTTTAACAAGGTTCTTTCAGTGTTTCTTCTTGGTGTTCTTTATTGTTTAATAATTTAAACAATAATTTAATTTTTTTTAATGAATTTCTTCTTGTGTGGCACTTTTTCTACGAGTTGCTTCAGATGCCCTTTTCATTTGGAGAAGCATGGAATAAATCCAGTGAACAGAATAAATTATTGTTATTATTATTTTACAGTGAAGGCAAAACATTCTTGCACCAGCAAAGATGTTTATCACCTAAGCTTTTTATAAAGGGAACAGCTTGCTGAGTATATATCTATGGATATGTTATTAATTTTTATACTGCAGTTCACCTTTGTAACTAAGCTATACGTGCTGTCTTTATGTTTTTTGTTGATATGTTATGTATTTTTAATCACCATTTTAGCTTTGAAAAAAATGTAATTTTAAGATTTACAAGTGATCCTTGGAAGACGCTGTTTTGAAGGGCAGCATAAACATTAAAAATTAAATTAAATTAATAAAATAAAATACTATTGTTGGGTGTACTCCACTAGGGTAATCTGATGGGGAATTGTATGCCAGTAATAGATGAGTCCCATCTTTTGGGGGGGAGAGCCAGTTTGGTCTGGTGGTTAAAGGCATCAGGCTAGAACCAGGAGACCATGAGTTCTAGTCCTACCCTAGGCATAAAGGCAGTTGGATGACCTTGGGCCAGTCACTCTCTCTTAGCCCTCGGAAGGAGGCAATGGCAAACCACTTCCAAAAATGTTGCCAAGAAATCTGCAGGGACCTGTCCAGCACATGTGTGTGTATGTGTATATGTATATGTATATGTACATGTGTGTGTATATACATCTCCTTTCTTCTTCTCTTGCACCCCTCAATTCCTCTCTATTCCTACTATACCTGTCACAGGTCAGAGCTCTCTTGGGAGCAACTGATTACTCTGGAAAAACCCGAGCTGATGGCTTGAAGAAAATTCTTGAATTCAGCTGAATTCCATATGGTCCTAACAGTATGTTTCCCCTTCCTGATTCTGAATCTAGTTGACTCTCTTAACAATTTGCCTTCTGGATTGCTAAGAGAATATTTTCCTTTATCCCTCACTTCAGCATCTTGCATGAAAGGGAACTGGCCAGCAGATAGTACCAAAGCTGGGCCAGCCACATGGGGAGAACCATAACTTTGTAATAAGGTTTGAGTTCCAAATATGGAAGGATTTGATTCCTGGGGCTGAAAGAAAGGATCAAGCATTAGTTGTTGTGGAGTTCCAGAAAGTTTTTGAGCGTGCATCAGAATGGCTGGCTTGAGGCGGGGAGATTTAAGATAGAATGGGCATAGGCCATGCTGATGACGGGATGATGGAAGCTGAGGTTCAACAAAACACAACAAGAAGACAGCAGACTGGGAAAGAGTGTCACAAGGGGTCAATCTGTGCCACCACATGCCACAAAGTGTGGCTTTGTGTGTCAAGTTGTAATACAAATTCACCTTTGTAGGTTAGCCTGATCTACTGACCCATGAACAAGGCAAAGGCAGCAGGGGACTGGGAAGATCCTGTAATTCCACCTCTAGAATGACACTCTGCATTGTACACTTCTAGTACACTTGAGGCACCTTGGTTTGTTCTATCAGGTTTTGCTCGCTACGTTAGACAGTTCCTGACGTTGGCTTTCCATTCGCTATAGATTTGCTGCCTCTCCTTGCAGACCTTTCCAGAACCACTCAGATTGGTTTGCTTGCCCAGCAGTCTAATCATCCAAGAACTTGGGATAAACTTTAATTTAAATGTTGGATAAACTTTGTGTTAGATCCTCATAGCCTGCTTGGATTTTTGCCAATTGATTTATGAAGAAAAATAATACTGTAAAGAAGCTAGCAACCATCCATACAGAAAGGTAAAGTCTTCTTCAAACACAGTTCAACCTTGATGATCATATGGACATTGTGGTTTTCTTGAGAACTGTATGGAAGTGGTCTGCCATTGGCTTTTTCTGGATTTTTTAAAAAAATTACTAGTCTATCCTATAGCCTTGGGCTCACTTACTTGTTTCTTGTCCAATCTGGTCAGATCCTTCTTAGCTTTTTCACATAGCCAATGTAAGCTAAATGCTGTCTTCTACCTGGGTTCAAACTATCCACTCTCCCTCTTACAACTGCCATAATGTGCATACTCTTTGGTTGCAACTGCAAACAACCTAAGCAAACAGCACCAGAGAGTTAATGATGCACAACAGCAACTCGCACCTGTTAACATGTTGCATTATATTTCCTGGCCAAGCCAACTGGACTTTTAATTGTCCTCGATGCTCAATAAAGAAGTCTACCAAAGTTCTTGTAATAGTGGCTGAAGTATGGAAGAAAAAAGCTGGAATCCAGAGAATAGCTCCATCAAGCTTCTTCAAGCTTAGAAAAAAGTTATTGCGATCTTGAATGGTCAAAAGATTGTTGTAATACTTCTCCAGAATGCTAGGGTTAAAAGTGGTTATGTTGGTTTTCCTCCCAACATCTTTCTGGAATGCTTCTGTTGGTGCAAAATTGCAACGGAAAACAAAATCGTATTTGTCTATTTCTTGTCCACACTGACTGCCGAGAAGAATTCCACTGTTTCCCACAACGGCACAAATATTGTAGTGCTTGTTCTGAATAGGCGAGACATCTGGAAGCAGGAACCGGAAGCTATTGCTAATGGAGAAAACATATTTATGGCTGGAATAATCATAATGCATCAGCTGTCCAATCCGAACCATGTTCTTTGTCAAAGAAAAGTTTTTGATCACATCAACGTGCTGAAGGATTTCTCGTCTAAAAATAATAACAGAAAAACAATTACAATGAATGGTCTCACCTGAAACATCTAGTTATTGGCCTTGTTTTGAAAATGTCTTAAGTTAAAAGACTAATCTTAAAAAGAGACGTAGGACCTCAAACCTCTCATATATTAGGTATGAGTACGTATGGGTTTGGGTGTTGTTTTTGAACATGGATAAACTTTTACCATAATGCACATTTGTATTTTTCAGGGTAGATGAATCAACCATTAACAGGAAGGGCTCTAGTGTGGGGTTCAACTTGATTACATTTCAATTTGATTCTAACTGTATTCCATGTTATTTTCTGCCGATGAAAAAAATAAAGCTGTTCATTCATCTTGGGGTGTCCATTCTAATTCTTTGAGTTTAATGTTTGAGTAGAGGGCATATACACAAAAATCTAGCATACGTGTGTCCACAACTGTACAGTCAATCCAAACTTCCACTGCAAATCTGAGAACTGATCATAATGTCATTTATCTTTTATTTATTATTACTCTTATGATTTCCATAAAAAAGAAAAACAAATAATACTGATAAAATACACATTTGAAAGCATATAGAAAATGTAGCAAGGAGGAAAAAAATCCCAGTAGAAGCTATAGAATACAGGTGGATAACCAACAAATCTAAAATAACCAGCAGATCTAAAATATAATATGGTTAATGTATTCTAATACACCATTAGCAATTTAGAGTACTTTAAGACATTTCATACCCAATTTCCAGTCAAGACATGTCTCTATTGTACTGTAAAACTGTTTGGTTAGCACAACTGAAATCAAAGAAAGGAAAAAGAAAAGCTTTAAATAACAAGCAATAGATTGAAAGAATAGTGTAAATAATGTGTAGACTATAGATCAGATTAAAAATACATATAAACTCTAGAATCCAAATTTGGGATGTATTGTAGCACAGTTCCATGTATAAAACTGTAGTGCAGAAATGATTTCCAAATAAGATTGAATGGTATATCAATTTACTTTTTAGATATAAAATTATTCTAGGCATTGAAATATATTCCCACAGTTTAACTAACCTTCTATATAGGTGATTAGAGACCTTTTCCAATAGCAAGGGTGTAAAATCCTTGCAGCTGTTATCATACAGAATGCCATTTCAGTATGTCTGGGGCAGGGACTGATCCTATAATTTAGGGCTGCATTAATTTTTCTGCAAAGCAATGCCTTAGACTGGATCTGTGATTTTAATCTCTTGCTTTATCTTCCCCAAAGTAAGCATTATGGTCTGGATGAGGACATGACCATAATATTAGGGAGGCACCTATTAATTTCCTAATAGAGGTTGTTCACCTCAAAGGGGACTCCTTCAAAAGCAGGTCTGCAATCTGATATGAAGAGCACCACCATTTCCTGCAGTTAGTCAGCTGTTCTGCCCTCTTGAATTTGATATGAAACTACAGACAGCATAGCTTTAAATGTCCATTCTTAGATTTTGAATTTCTTCCTTTTTTTCCCACTTGACAACTGCTTCTAGCTTTCAAAAACTGCCACAGATCTTGTCACAGAGTCCTCATTTTCTTTCATTTATTTGCATATTCCAAATTCATGATATGCTTAATTAAACAAGTGTATTAGACTAAATTGAAAAATATCTGTAACTATAGATATATGACTTGACTTCTATACCCTATTACCCAATTGCACATTACTTAACAACTACGCAGCAATTCAAATATCAGACCACAACTAATAACCTAATATGACTTAAACGTCTTCTGTGTTACCATGAAAGAAGATCTAATTTTGGCTATTTCTCAAGCTGCCATATCTTGGGAAACTATTAATTGATCTACGTGTGTCATTTTGTTATTTTGTCAGACTATTAACTTGGTTTGCAACAGTTCTTGTTTTATTCTTCATATAATCTTTTGCCTCCTTTTATCAAATATCCTCATCTTGGAGGCACTGGTTGATAGATTGTTTTGTATGTTGTATCCCTGGGTTTTTGGAGCTGGGAAGACAGGACTTCAGTCATGCACTGTTGGATAAAGCTAGTTCTCAGATTCTGAAGGCCCTTAGTAAAGGTAACTTCAGCTCCTCCCCCCTGCCCAAGATGGAAAAGGAAAAGAAGGGCTCATAAAACTGAAGTTTGCCTTAGACTGCATCTGATCTCCTTGGATACTGAGAGCAAGGTGGAAGTGAATCCATTGTTAGGGCAATGAATTCTCTGCTGGTCTTTGCGCCCAGGCAAATGGACAACCTTCCCGCTCTCTGGAACTGGCTGTGGTGCTGAATGAAGGTCGGAAAGATTCATTTATTTATTTATTTCAATTTGCACATCCTGGGGGGAATTTCATTCCAGAAGGCAGGCACTGTGATAGGGACAGTATCCTTCCAGGCTCCCAATAGATGGCATTGTTTAATGGAAGGAATCCAGAGCATGCCAACCATGCCAGCTTGAATTGGCTGGGCAAATACGAGGGGAGATGACCCCAATTGCCCTTTACCTTTCTCTCTTCACTGTCTATAATACAGGCAGTGATCTCATTCACCTCTCTCCCCACAATGTTATAATACTAGAATAATATGATACCAGGAACGTCAAACTCCATAGTCCCCAGATGCCTGAAATGTGCCATACAATTTCAATGGGAGGACACTAATGCCCTGATGTCAGTCTGCCTTCTCTTGTAGTTGGATGGAAATCTTCTTGGCAGGCCTGTGTCTTCACTGACATAGAGTCCAATGGCCAGTTATACGTCACACAAAACGAAATGCAACACTGAAGAAAAGAGAGTGCGAATAATATATATGTGCCTATGAACTAAATAGCGTTAATTGTGTTCATTTAAATTAGAATGCAAATCATCTCTCCATTTTGGGGAAGTCTGTGACCCAGCTGGGTGCTGATGGTAACTCTATTCTTACGGTACTTTATTTTTAAGCTGATAACGAAGTAGCCCTTCAAACAGAGAATTGTGTTTCTTTCATCTAGATATATAACCACCCTAGCATTGGGTACGGTCTCATTCAGAATTGGGAAATGCCTAAGCTTTCAAGATGCTACTGGACACTGGGGAACTTCCAGTGAAATCACTGAGAACTGCTTGGCATTGAAGTCTTGCCAATTTGGAATTAATCTGCAGAAAAGGATTACTTTTACAATGCCCTTAATCAACCAATTTGCCCAGAATGGGATCTCTGTGTGTGCAGAATCGGAGGTGTCTATTAGCTCAATTTCGGTCATTGCTTAGCGATCAGATGCTATTGTTTCCATCACCATTTGGCATTTGAACATGCTGTCTAGGAATCCTGGGAGTTTTAGTCCCAGAGGACAAGTTGATGAAGGATGGAGTAATGCATAACTCATCAATTAACAAAGAACTAAGATCTGAAATTTATTAGCCCACAGAACTAGGCTTGTGGATATATCCATTAGGATCAGCCTACTTTTCTCCATATGAAGCTTACATTATTTTAATAATAAAAGAATGAATGGAAAATTGGCATCTTATAAAGCAAGTGGAAGTTTCCAGGATATTTCCCCCCAGAGCAATTCTGAACCCCACATACAGACATTCTTAGAAAATAAAAATGGCAAGTACCTGTAGCTGAGATTTTGTTAGGAAAGTATTTCCCACCAAAGACAGAGGTAAACTGCGTGGGAACAAGAAATATTTTATATTTATTTTATTCAAAGTACAATTACAGCTGTGTTAATTTGTGAAAAAATATCCCACAGCTCCAAATGCCATTTTAGACTGTCTCTGAGCTGCAAACAGATGGCTGAAAAATCTGTTTAATATTTTTGGATTGATTTGCTTATTCCCCTGCTACTGATTTTAGCAACATTAAAGAATAGTTTTGGAAAACTCAAAAGTTTGTACATTCTTTTGTATGGTTTCGTTAGGTCCAGTAGAATTGGCCTTGCCTGATAGAAATCAATTATAGATTTGGGATTATCCTGCAAATAGAGAATTTTAGATCCTGGGGCTAATGGTCTTCCTAGCAGGAGGGTTTTCCACTACAACAAAATCAATGTATGTTTGTTCATGTATTCCTGATAGGCCATAGCAAAAACAAAGCAAACAAAATAATTGTTTCCTTCTGCCTGCTGTGATGCTAAACTTGAAGTAAAAATCCTAAAATCAACTTCTATAAATATGTATAGGAATTCTGACTATACAAGGGACAGAGGGAGGGAGGAAGGGAGGGAAGGAAGGAAGGAAGGAAGGAAGGAAGGAAGGAAGGAAGGAAGGAAGGAAGGAAATGACAATAAACGATCAGTCCTAACCCATGCTAGTCCAAGTACTGATATTGACCACATCTACTATTGGTCCTATCGCCCATCACTTCTTCCCACAAACCTATGAAGTCTGAGCTTTAGCACCGAGAACCTCCTCTAGCTGCATCACTATTTGGAATGAATGAAAATGGAGTGGAATGGTTTGGCTGTAATTGCCTGGAATACATGACCTGTATTTGTCTATTTCCTTCAAACCTACCCTCTATGTTTTCCTTGTCGTAACTTATTTCTTTTCTAGTTCTGCAAACCCAAAGGTTATCTTCCTCTTGTGTGCTGTTGGTATAATTTGGATCCACATTTGATAAATACTAGACAGCCCTGGGACCCGCCAGGCCATCCTTTGAGAGAAAGGTAGTGCAGTCTGATGTGACCAGAATGAACATTAAATTTCAGGCTGACCATATTTTTTTTACCCCAGTGCTAGATGATCCCATGATCATCTAAAAAGAGAATATATCTTAAATAGAAAAATAAGTCTAGTGGTAAACAAACTTCAATAAGTCAATATTTATTTACCTAAACAGAGAAACAAAATGACCATGGTTGGACAAAAAAGCAGTGGGAGCGGGAGTGAATTCCAACTTCCTGCCAGCTTCCCCATTGCCTTTGCTTGTGGGGAGCTGGCAGGGCCCATTGGACATCACAATCATGTGACTGGAGGGATGCTGGAACAGCCACAACTTTGCGAATAAAAGTGGTCTGAGCATTGTGGAAATTTCAATTCCACAGGAGTAATGGGTCCCAGATTTTTTACGCATTCTTTAAATTAGCAGATTTTAGGTACCTTGATTCAAAAATGGTTGTGGTATAATGCACCATTTGGGCTAACTTGGGGGTACAAACAGACAAACAGATAAACACAATGAGAGTTTTAGTAGTATATAGATAGTTGCAATGTAGGATTTATATCTTGTCATTTCTTCAAGAAATAGAGATTGCAGGAAGCATAATATATTTCATAAACTTTTCAGTGATATAGGTTAATGCTGTGCCTTCTTGGTGGCAGTACCTGCCCTGTGGAACAGCTTCCCCCTGGATTTTGAGATGGCCCCCACCATGTTAGCCTTTTGCAAGGCACTGAAGACTTGGCTGTTTCCCAGGCATTTGGGTCAGGAGGTAGATGAGCTCTGTTACTACTGATGGTGAGTAGGGTTAACATTTTATCCTTGGGTACCAGGGGGTTATGTTTGGTGGGTTTGTTTTAATCTTGTAAGCCACGCAGAGTCACTTGTGTGAGATGGGTCTGCTATGTAAATGATATAAATAAATAAATGTGGTCAAGCTGTGGGCCATCCAAAGGTGCCCCCAAGTATTTTCCTGTTGCTCTCTGAAGCTCTGCAGGATTAGAATAATTACATGCCATTTCCTTTCATCTGGGGGCTGGGGAGGTGTAACAAGTGAAATATATGTTTTAAAAGCCTCCAATAATCTCAACACATCTATTTTAATTTAACACTCCACAAAAGAGCTAAAAATTAAGCAGCCTAGCCCAGCCAGTTAATTCATCATGTAACTGACATATTCCTTGGAACTCTTGGTTAAAATTGAATATGTTGATTATTTTTCTTAAGAGTGTAGTTCGTGGCTGCAAAAAGGGCTACTCACCCTTGCATTAAGTAAAAGACTGTTGCTTCCTGGGGTTACTAGGGGAACTTCTGGATTGAGGAAATATGAAAGCCTAGGTTTGTTCCAGTGAAAACCTAGTGTTTTGCCCTTGGCATTACTATGGTATTCTCTTTTTGGCTTTACGCCATTGTAGAAGGTTGTTTCATTCATTAACACTAACATTATAATTCTTTATATTTAAGGTGGATAATTCTCACATTAGAAAGACAACATTATGTGGAATTGATAACAGGATATGCTGCAAACATTTCTGTTCTAGCCTCATAATTGAACTCTCTTGCCCTCTTTTGTACATACATGTTTCCTCTTTCAAATTCTCTTCTCTTGTGGTGACACCTTTACTAAAATGGGACTGATCCAAAATGGGTAAGGCAGTCTTTTTCATCCTGATGCCTTGAAGATGTGGTGGACTGGAGGAGATGGAAGTTGGAAACTCATAATCTGCAGAGCCCCAGAATGAAAAAAAGTTATGAGGACAGCTGGTGGATTTAACACTGAAAGTCCATGTGAGGTCTCTATGAGGACCATTGAGAACAGGCAAGACGATAAGCTTGTATTGATTTTGATTTGGATATACAACTTAATAACTCAGTGGAAACATAGGAACCAGCGTTATCCCAAGTCAGTACTGTCTTATGCTAACCAACCGTGTTTTGGGGGGGTTTAGGAAGGATTTTTCCCATCCTTCTTCAAGACGTCAAGAGTTGACATATTTTACCATTAAACTACACCAATCCCCCACCTCAGGGTTTCTATCATCAGACCCTTTGCAAAACTGTCCTGAAACCTGGATTAATTTTAAATCTAAAATGAAAAGAAGTCATAATAACTACATTTATTCCCATTAATGCTTTCTTTGCCTTCATTCTCCTCTGCTTTTTCCATTATTGATATTTAAAATGGCAAACTTTTACTTCTATTCTAATATAGAACTAAATAAGTACAGAATTTCTTAATACAATAGTATTAAGGCATTTCAGAACAAAGACAACATAGTCTCTGGGGTAAAGGAGTTCCTTAAACATAATATTTGGCTTAGCTGCAACTAAATAATATTAATTCCTGTTTGGAGTGAGAACTTAACTGGTGTTGTAGAATTCTGTTATGGAGTCAAGGACTGGAGATAGAAACTTATAATTAAGTCTTGTTTTTTGGTAGGATAATGTTTTTATTTCATTATTACTTTAACATAGCTCCTTTAAAGTCAACTGAATGCTTTGTTGTTTCTTACTTTATTTTTCTTTAAAGATTAGTTTTAAATGTTTTCTGATAAAATGTTACATGCATGTTTTAATAGTCATTGGACTGACTCTGATCATGCTTAGAATAAAACTACAGGAAATTGAATCAGCTTGAAAAATTTAAATTGATTTCAATAGACTTCTCTGAGCATTATTATATCTGAATCCAACTACAGGTAATTATTTGGAAGATGCCTTGTTCCATAAGTTACAGAAAGATGAAATAGACATCCTATTCATATATAAGGATAAAAGAATGGATAATCCTCCTGTTCCAAGTGTTTTCTGTCCTGTGAAGATGGATTATTGATGCTTATGCATAGAAACAATTGGAAGGGATGAATTATGGGACTTGGTCCAAGATAGATTAAAAATAGTTACCACTATTTTTTTTATAATAACATTATAATTAGGATGTGATAGTATTTATTTTAAGAAACACGTTCTTCATGCCTAACATACACACAGGACCATTTTTACCCTGTAACAAAGAAGACAATGTAACTGAGACTCCATCCACTAATACTCCAGCAAAGTTAATTATTTTTCAAACTCTGCTGCGTGGTGAATGAAATGTATCTTTGATTGGAATTGCAATCTGATTGTCACACAATTCTGAGAAAACCTTTGCAATGAAATAATAATCTTTTCTGTTTTAGGAGACAAGAAAGAACTTGGAAAAAGGAATTCCTTCTGCTTGTGCAGAACTCTCGGCCTTAAATGGCTTGAAGAATAATTGATCTGAAGTTCTGAAACGAGCCATTCCAGTATCACAGTTTGACATCTTGAGCAACATTTGTCTGTCTCCCATTTGCAGTCCTAGAACTCCTTAATATTCTATCTGGGGAACATTGAGAATATTAACATTTTCCCTAAAGTGAGTAAGGTTAATAAAAATGCCATTAGAGTTTCCATTTGCTCATCATAAATAAACAAGCTGATTTTGATATAATTACATATTTGCTGCATGTGTATATCCATCTTCCTCTTCATACTGGAGCGTACAACTTGTACCTACTCCAACATTCTGGAATGTGGCTTGAGAGCCTTTCCAAAAAGGGAGTCCACGTTGGTTTTTAATGAGATAAAAAACAGGAAAAGTTTTTTTTAAAAGAAGTACTATACATAGTAGCACAGTAGCTGTATTGTTGTGTTTAATGAATTTAACTTGAATTAAGTGTAAGTATTGAAATATGTAGTTTTTGTCCTGGTTCCATCCATGGCCTGGTCTTATCTCATCTACTTTTTACAGTGGGTGCCCTAGCACTCATCAGAAATCAATGCACCTATTGGTCCATTAAAAGTTGTGCAGCCCTTAGAGTGTAAGAAATGTAGCCGAGGGATGGAAAAATATATGCTACATCTGACATTAGCACTACTGTTAAAAACTGTATTTGTGGAGTCCTTGGTGCTCTCTGAGCTGGTTGTTTGATTGCAGACATTTCATTACCTGACTAGGTAACATCATCAGTGTTATTCAAGTGACTAGACTAGCACTGATGATGTTACCTAGTTGGGTAATGAAACATTTGCGAGAAAACAACCAAGCTCAGAGAGCACCAAGGACTCCACAGTTCAATCCTGAGTTACAGATATTCTCTTCTATTGGAACTGTATTTATGTAAATCTTTCCATTTCCTCTATAATATTCAGGGCACTTTCCCTTATGTCTTGTGTTGCCTTTTGTGTGTGTGTGGTGGGGAGGGGTTGCCCACACTTTCAGTTGTCTTCCACCACAATATGGAGTATGGCAGAGCATCATATGTAGTGTGAGGGTCCAACACAGGTTAAGTATTACAAAAAATTACCATTTTTCTAAGAGGAAATCAGTATAAGATACTAAATTACATGTTTCCTTTTAAAGCAATTTTTTGGAGGTTGTACACAAGTCTTTTTTTTAATTATTATTCTCATTGGTTGCTTAGTATTGATATCACACAATTTTTCCCAGGGTGGGGGAAGTAAATATGGTTGGAAAATATTTGGATAATGTGGAATGAAGAAGTATCAGGAAAGGTCTATGCAAGCCTTCTTGCACCTCTTCCTGATTACCACTTCAAGACTATCTTACATCATGGATAAAGTTCCAGATACAAATCCATGGCTTAGAAATAATTACAATCTTTAATACCATATAAACAAACATGATTACTGCAAGGACTTTTAAGATAATAGATGAAAAGCGTTCTGAACATTCAAGTATGTTCAGTAAAGGCTATGTAGGTAACAAGTTATTTTACAAAATTGGTAAATGAAACTGCATTTTTGTAACTGCTTCTCAAAAAGTGAGTTCCTTGATTTCAGTGCAGCTTTCATGCCAGTTTTAAAACATGTTTTATGAGATGGCAAAAACTCAGCTTGGTCTATAAACATTTGAGAGTCAACAGATTCAGTAGTTAAACTTGTTTTCTCTCCCACAAAATCGGTGAACTTTCACTTGGAATCTAGAGTTCAATGCCTTTGTACTTTTAGGTATAAATTAAAAATCTGATTTGAAATTTCACAGGCAAATGTGAAATGCCATGGGGAGTTCTTCCTATTTCTGAATTTATCTGAACAATTCAAGGTGAACATTTCTTGTTTTACAATAGATGCAGTCGTGATCTACACAACATTGCACTTTTTCAGGTAAACAAACTGTGGCTTGATTTGAGTTACTCCACGTGGGCTTATCACTTTCTAAAAGTGATTAGCATCCCTAGAAAATTATATGTTGGATCAGGGAAGGAAAATGAGTATCAAACTCTTCCAGTCAGAATCTTAGCAGTCCCAGCTTCGTTCTTTCTTTTTTAAATGTTTTATTTAAAACAGAGATGTATTTTCAAAAAAGACAGTATCTATAAACAGTGAAAGAATTACTGAAGTTATACAATTAATGCTCAACATAACATTGATAAAAGATTCCAAACAGAATACTTTGAGCTGTTTTCATGATATGAAAAAGTAGTAAAAATGTTTTGAGCTTAATGCCAAAATCTCCACTATTTTATTATTTACAACTGTTAAAAAAGAAGAAAAAGAAAAAAGTAAAACACGGCTAAAAATAATATAGATAAATATTTGATTTCTGAAATCCCCTTCTTTGTACTCCACCTGATTTGCAGTACTTATTGGTGTAAACTCTAGAAACCAAGTGCTATTTGCCTTGCTGTGTAATATATAATATATAAGAAAGCCATTCTTGCTTAAATTTATCCTAGCTTCTTTCTTGAGATCCAGATGCAAATTTTCTATTTGAGCAACAGATTCTCTGTAAACTAAGTTAATCAGTCATTTCTTTTGTCAAAAACTTCTGGGACTTTGGGATCTGAGTTCTGGGTTTAATGTTTTCTTGAAGAGAATTCTTAGGATCATTCACAACACATAATGGTGATATTTAATTTGATATAATAGAGTTTGTATTGGAAAGCCAATCTTTCAGCTTTATCTGTAAAAGTAAAAGAGTGATATTGTATTTATCTGACAAGAAGACTCCAAATAATTTAGTTTTAAAATGGAAGGATAGCTTAGATTTAAAAGTACAGTAACAGAAGCAGATGATTTTTCCCCCCTGCCTAATCTTCATTACGGAGTGGGTTATTTTAAATACAGTGATCTTCTTTTCAGACAATTATGAGGAAAAAAATGGAGAGAGACCTGTTTTAAGAGTAATACAATATGAACTGCATTGCATATTTAGGGTATAAGTTGTATCCCTATTAAGAATGATGTATTTTTTTCTCTGTTATCCATGAATAGAACAAAACTTAAATTATTCATAATCTAATTAATACTCTTGGGAGGAAGTACTCATTCTTTTAAAATCTATTTTGGATATATCGGAATAAAGAAAGTTGCAATATGGTTCCCTGGAAATAATATGACATCGTGATCCTCTTGATGGAGAAATGCTATAATTAAATTGTTGCTGAATGGACTGTTGCCTCTTTAATGAAATTTCATAGTGTGTTTGGGTCAGTCCTATACAGAACATTAGAATGGGACCTGTGCCGATGACATGCCTAACCCAAATTCCATTGTGTTTGCTCTGTAATTCCAATTTTTAAAGCTATGTAATCCACCATCTAGTTTCTCTTCTGGGCAGGACCAAATACAGTGTAATCAAATCAAGTGCTAACATATCTACTCTTATTACCCAGAACTGAAGCTGTTTCCATCCTATTTTATTTTATCTGACTCCCAACTCCACCACCCCAAAATTGTATTTAAAACAGTGCAATATTGAAACAGGTTGATTATTTGAACAAAATATTTCTGGCTATTTGGGAATCAATATCTTTCACTCAGCCTATGTGGCTTTAATCCCGGCTTTCTGTTAGCTATGATTAAGAAATTAATAGAGAGCTTTAAGAAATTAATAGAGAGCTAAGGGACAGCTCATATTTCTCATGTTTTCTCTTTTCTTTGAAAAAAAAAATTTCTCCCCACAGTATCCGTGGTGAAAGAATATTTGGGTGGCAATGGATTTTGTTGTCAAGGCTAACCAGGATTTATTGAAACCAGAATCTTTAAACATTGATTCAACCAAGAACTTGACCAGGTCTTTGCAGTGCCATCCTAACTGAACAATGAGTTGGCTAGAGGAGATTAGGTGGAGAAACACTTCTATTAACAGGGAGCCTTGCCAGTTGACCCCAGAATCTGCCATCATAGATTGACCAGCTACATTGTCCTGCTAGCAGAGAGGTTGAAAAAGTATGGAGAAGGAAGCAAGGTATGCCAAACTTCCAGACCAGTGTTTCTCAACCTTGGCAACTTTAGGATATGTGGACTTCAACTCCTGGAATTCCCCAGCTGAAGTCCACATATCTTAAAGTTGCCAAGGTTGAGAAACACTGCTCCAGACTATTGTTTCCTACCAATTCCAGTCTTAAAAACTGAACTCACTTCCCCTTTCAACCACATTTCAGTAAGCCTCATACAGACCTGGTAGGCTTCTGGCTGCTTTGGCCAGTTAGTATTAGGTATCTAGCCACAGAGACTTCATTAAGGCAAATTAATTCTCCCGGAACTGCGGAGGTGATGTGTGGAGGAAGCATGCAATTTCATTCTATTTTATTTTGATAGCTATTTATATATTACTCTTTAATTATATGATACATATATTGCATTCATTCTGTAATTGTATCCCAGTTGCTTCACTGTATTAGGTAGTATTTATGTCTATACTGATCCATTCATTAGATTCAGCGCATGATAATACCATCTCAGGACTGAATAGAAGTCTTGGTACAACTTGACCTATTTTGAATGTAAAGGAAGCAAAACTGCTAAAAAAAGAGAAAAACATTAATCCACCATACCACTTCTACGTGGTTTCCTTGCACTGTATCTGGGGTACTGTTGGCAGGCAAAAAACCCCCCACTCGAATTACAACCCCACTTCATATTCACACACACTGGCTTGGTTCATATAGTTCATACTAATGAATTAGTATGTAATGCCAAGCCATACTTTAGGGGGTGTTTTTTGTTCTTGGCTTAATGTTATGTGTGAACCAGGCCACTATGGGGTTTTCAGTCAATCATGGATAAAGAATCCTGGCTTAGTGATATGTGAGAACACAATCAATATGACACCATTATAGGGCTCTGCCAACTGAAGTTTCCAATGTCCCAGTATGACCCCACCAAGAAGTAGAACATTTGGAAAGTAAAAGAAAAATTGGCTGACTATCTTATCAGTCCTTTATGTCCCCTAAACTTTTTCCTAGTAGCCATTTCCCCTTGCTTTCTCCCTCTACATTTCTACAGGAAATTAGTGACTAAAAAGAAACAGATAATAAAGTCATTGAGTTGGTGAGTCATACAAGCCATCATGTTTAGAATTGTACTTGATACAAGTAGTTCAGACCTATAATGCCCCCAATCTCTTACTGAAGAAATCAAGGAGTGATGAACCATGGATACCAACCAAGAAACCAAAGCTGGCTTGCTTCCTCTGGGTGGCTTGCTTTCATGCACATTGCTAAGCCAGGTAGTTTTAATCATGTTTTGCTCAGCCCATCATAATAACCACATTATAGCTTAGTGATCAGTGGGAACCAAACCATTACGTTTGCATGGATGTTTCTGGATGTGATTTCTACCCACTGCTCCATATGCTTGGTGCACCTTTCTCTGCTGATTTCAGAATTCATAGCTGAATTTCCCTGAAAAGAAACTGCTCTCATTTTGGCTGCTACATTGGAACAAGCTTTACCATGCTAATCTGAAAAGAGTAAAATGGGCAATAACAATGTATGTTCTCAAAACAGCAACGTTCAGTGTCCCAAAATGATACCTTCATTTTTCAGGCTCAAATGATTTGAGAGATAATTAAAATACCTGGGGGAAAATGAGAATTTCTTACATTTAGGATATTTATTCCCTAGGTCACTGATACAGTTGGGCATTTTTGACAATTTTCAAGGGCACAGCTAACTGTTGCCAAATCATAGGAGTGGCTGCACTTAAAAGCTAGCCTTTAGGTGGATTTACCCAAAATGTAGAGTTACCCCGAGCCTGGATGGCCTCTCACTTTTCCTCACCTTTGCTGTAAGAATGCTGTTCTGTTGAATGTCCACTTGGGAGCCTTATCCTGCACCTCCTGGTTCAAGGAGTTTGTGTTGGGTACAAAGGAAGGATCAAGGAACTTCAGTGCAAACTGTGACCTGAAACAGATCACATATTTATGCAATCAGTGAAAGTATTTCTCACATTAAGGGCCAAATTAATGATGTTATCATTTCTAGTCACTCTTATCAGTGTTACCCAACAGAAGAAGAAATTCTCTGATGCATGACTCTCAACATCTAAACATGTTTAGATGGATGGAAATTACTGATTTTCCTTTCGGATGAGCAGCTTGTTAGAAATAGGCTATTTTTCTATATGGAGGAAGGTCTTTATTCCTCAGAGAAAAGTATTTAAAATGTTATTACCCTTCTAACAGCCCAACTGCCAGGAAATATATTATGATTAGGTTGCATTAATTATAAAAACTAGTACACTATCTCTAGTCAGAATAAAGAAAGAATCAGGATAGTTTAGCAACTGAATTCCTAATTCCTGAAACCATAATTGCAGACACCTTCATGTGAAGATCTTTTGGGGGTCTTCTTTTTTCCAGTAATATGGATACTTCATGATTTTGAGTATTCCACAGCAGTTAACCAACCTTTACTGATCCCCAAAAAGCCAAGCTGGTTAATACTTGGAAGGATAATATAAGATCCCATAGAGGCTAGACTTTAAAAGTCTCTCTCTCTCTCTCTCTCTCTCTCTCTCTCTCTCTCTCTCTCTCTCTCTCTCTCTTTCTCTCTCTCTCTCATCCATGGCA